CGCTATGTAAGATGTCGGGTTTCAACCAATCAAAATCGTGTCCAGAATCCAATCTGTGTTTGGTAATTACGGAGTGATTAGAATCATGTAACTTTATATTATTACAATGTTCCTTCACTCGTGTACGTAGATGTCTTTTTGTTTGACCTATGTATGATATGTTGCAATCTTTGCAATTTAATTTATATACAACGCTTGTCTTGTCGTTATTATGTAATCTGTTTTTACCGCGTCTAATTAAATTATTTAGTTTTTTTGTTATTATGTAAACAACGCTAAAACCGTTATTTCGCAAAAGGCGGTGCAGATCATGGCTCGTATTCTCTACGTATGGTATTGTAATAATTTGAGCCTTATCTACACGAGTAAGATTGTCGTTAGTATTGTCATTACGGTCACAATTATTTAGAAATGTGTGATTGTGAAGAAAAAATATGGAATTGTTAATTGCAAATTACATATTTTTTCTTAGAAACAACTATGTGTTTTCTTTACACCAATTGATTCCTCTCATTATTTTGTACATAAAAGTATGAAGGTAAGATAATCGAAAAATGAATGGTTTACTAGATATTTTATGGTTTATGTAAAATTAAGAAATTATTTCAAGCCTTATAACTCAAAAAGTACTTAATAAAAAGGTACTTAATTATAGTGTTTTGGAAAGCTTTCGAGATAAGCTACAAGAATATGCAATGAAAAATAGGGGGTTCCATTTAAGATTTCAAACTTGCCCCCCCTCACTGCCCAGGGGGAGGGGTGGGGGGACTGATTTTAACGTCATTGTACGTCCCCCTCGAAATGACGAAATTTTGATTCTTTCGTAGTGTGCTTATTTTTCGAGTTATTTGGCTGCCTAAGTTAAAATGGGTCACCCTGTATATGTATATATATATATATACAGGGTCTACCAAAAGTGTGGAAACCCCTAAATATCTCGGAAAATATACGTTTTACAGAAAAGTGTTTCCAACAAAAGTTGTAGGGTTTAAGAAGATCTATATACTGATTCTATCAGTTTGACCTTGGATGGCGTCGTCAAGGTCAGGTCAAGGTCACATTGACTTTTTTAAATGACACCCCCTACATTTGATTGCATATTCTTATAGCTTAATTCAAGAGCTTTCCAAAACACTATAATAATGTTCATTTTTATTAAGTACTTTGCGAGTTATGAGGGTTGAAATAATTTCTTAATTTTACATAAACCATAAAATATCTAGTAAACCATTCATTTTTCGATTATCTTACCTTCATACTTTTATGTACAAAATAATGAAAGGAATCAATTGGTGTAAAGAAAACATACAGTTTTTAAGAAAAAATATGGAATTGTTAATTGCAAATTACATATTTTTTCTTAGAAACAACTATGTGTTTTCTTTACACCAATTGATTCCTCTCATTAATTTGTACATAAAAGTATGAAGGTAAGATAATCGAAAAATGAATGGTTTACTAGATATTTTATGGTTTATGTAAAATTAAGAAATTATTTCAACCCTCATAACTCGCAAAGTACTTAATAAAAATGAACATTATTATAGTGTTTTGGAAAGCTCTTGAATTAAGCTATAAGAATATGCAATCAAATGTAGGGGGTGTCATTTAAAAAAGTCAATGTGACCTTGACCTGACCTTGACGACGCCATCCAAGGTCAAACTGATAGAATCAGTATATAGATCTTCTTAAACCCTACAACTTTTGTTGGAAACACTTTTCTGTAAAACGTATATTTTCCGAGATATTTAGGGGTTTCCACACTTTTGGTAGACCCTGTATATATATATATATATATATATATATATATATATATATATATATATTTCATTAGTCTTCTAATTATATCTTCTTTAAATAAAACCAATAATATAATTGACATAAATATTTAATAGAAATAAATGAGAGAATTATTTAAATATCATTTCACTCTTTGCTCTCGATTGGGAAATATCTCATCAAGGCTTCCTTGTTGACCATCTACTATTTACCGAGAATAAAATTGAAATGAAAGAAATGAGGAACTCGAGAAAGACTGAAGTTTGCATTGACAGGACATCGCGATTAATCTTGGGAGCTTCTCTAAAGGATATGGAATTAGAGAGAAGCTTTTGCATAGAATGTCTACAAAGGACTTTAAATGTGTACAGAAGATATTTAAAAAGAATTGTTTCGTGATGGATTAAAGGTAAAAGATGCTTTCTATTAGAACTCGAGATTGCAAGAACTTTCGAAAAAAGCTCATTATATCTAGAATAAAGTCAAGAGTACGAATGGTTTCATTGAGATCTCTATTTCTACAGAAGGATTTAGAAAGATTAGATTTTACAGTCAGTCTAAAAAAGATTAATTCTGTGAGCTGGAAGGAAAATTGTGAGATTCTAAGAAATTCGAATGGGTTTTTAAAGATACATTTAATAAAATGATATAATATCCGATCTTTGAAGAGTATAATTTCTTTACTTTTGGAGGAAATATTGGTATAAAATTGCTGAGAGACTTGAAGCTAATATTATCTAATCCAATAGAAAAAAAATCAAACAAATCAAAATTTTTAAGATAAATAAGTTGAAAAGATAAAATCACATTTTCCTAGCTTTTTTTCAGAAGGAGCTGAAACAAATGGTGAATTTCTTACGCGTTTTGCACCAAGTTCTTTATTGACAACATATTCTAAATTTTTGGTGATGTATATATACGAATATTTATAATCGAAGAAGTCAGATATTAATTACAAACATTATTTATCTAATTACAAGTCTTACACAAGTTTGTTACATGGCAAAAGTGTACAATATTACACATTTATGTATATCAAAACATAGTCATGATATGGTTTAATGATGTATTAATAATATATTTCATTAATTTATCGAAATGTATTTATGCAATACATTGTTACACGCGAAGAAAGCAATTTTGATGGTTAAAGATTTACGCTCAGGAACATATTTGATATGCATCATGATGTTTCGTATTTATATTGAGAATAAGAAAAACCATAAAATCGTAACGTTACACATTTCTGTCATGTTTTATGAATAATCAAACAGATCAATTCTTTTTTTAATTTCAATAGTGATTTATCTAGTAACGTATTACGATCATATTTCTGTTATATATATCAAATCTCAAAGTTTAAGTATAGCAAGATCACAAAAAGAGAATTACGAAAGTTCAAAATCGAAAAGTATTATATTTTGAAATATAAATTTGTATATATCTCATAATATTTAAATAAAATTGTGTGTATATATCTCATAATATTTAAATATATACACATAAATACATGTTCATTATTTTGTTCATCATATTACAGGTATACATACAATTTTTCGAATTTTTAAAGAGATTTTATCCTCATGTATAGATCACTTCCAATATAATTTATAGACGCACGCACAAACTATAACAACTGTAACTTTTTGCGCGTGATCGTTTTATATCACAGCCGCCTATAGTCCCTTTAGTTCATTTAGTTTCAAAAAGAGACAACGCAAAAGTGTCGAAAGACATTTTGCCTTAAAAATGCTTTTCAATAAATTTATTTGTTCCTGCAAGCGTAATGTGTGATAAAATTGGTTGATTCAATTATAATTGTTTAATTATATGATTATAGAAGTGTTTGAATTATAGCAAAAATAATTTCATTTTAATATTGATAACACAGGCCTGCGAAATTTTATTTAGGTTTGGTTAGTTGCGAAAAAGCAGAGTAGATGAATTTGATTAGAAAACAAATCTGGCCGCAGAATTTCTTCGGCACGTCAGATTTTTGAATAATTTGTGATTAAATAGTTGAAAAATTTAACTATAAATTACTCGAAAATTTGAAGTGCTGCGTACAAATTCGTTATCAGCGTCAAAAAATCTATCATATTCACCTACTCTGCTATTTGTAACTGATCTTCGCAGGCCTGTGTAATTATTATTAAGGCAATGCAGTATAGGTCCCCTATGTATGTCTCTGTACGTGTATGTGTTTATATTTTTAAAATATATAATTAAAGTCAGTCTTTGCGAATGTAATATTGTATATTAAAAAATTCCGGTTATTCATATATTGTACTATGTAAAAGTTTAATTTACATATACCATATGTGAAATAATGTACGCCTAATATAAATGGTCTGAGAGCGCTCGATATAATTTCAAACCTTTATATTTTATATTACAAAGCTCAAAGCAAGAAAGAATTCAACCACAATCATAATAGTTTCATTAAGACAAAATATACAGGGATTAGTATAGAAATTAAGTTTTGATTTTTTTTGACACATCAATCAATCATTTTGTATCTGTATATATGGTTCAATATAATACGCATATTATTTTTTTACGATGTTGCGATAATATGACAATTATTGAAAATAAATCGACATATACAGGGTGCCCCATTTTATTTTTGTCAGTCAAATATCTCGATATTACTTAAAGTTAGAAAAAAATGTTATAAACAAAAGTTGTGAAAGTTGCCCTCAATTTTTTAAATGGAACCCCCTATTTTTTATTACTTATTCTTATAGCTTATCTCGAGAGGCTTTCAAAACACTATAATAAAGTATTTCTTCATTGAATACTTTTCAAGTTATGAGGTTTGAAATAATTTCTTAATTTTACATAAATCATAATATATCTTCTAAAATATTCATTTTTCGATTATTTTATCTTAATACTTTTATGTACAAAATAATAAGAGGAATCAATAGATGTAAAGAAAAAACAATGTTTTCAAGAAAAAATATGTAATTGTTTTCAAGAAAAAATATGTAATTTGCAATTAATACTTACATATTTCTTTTTAATAACAACTATGTTTTTTCTTTAGACTAATTGATTCTTTTCATTATTTTGTACTTAAAAGTATTAAAGTATGATAATCGAAAAATGAATATTTTACAAGATATTTTACAGTTTATGTAAAATTAAGAAATGATTTCAAGTCTCATAACTCAAAAAGTACTCAATGAAAATTAACTTAATTATAGTGTTTTGGAAAGCTTTCGAGATAAGCTATAAAAATATGTAATGACAGAGTAGGTTCCATTTAAAAAATTGAAAGTGACGTTCACGTAATCTTCAAACGATTTTTTGTGGTCAAATCAATGACATCATCTTTTGCCCCCTTCAAGCCATACAACTTTTGTCTGAAACATTTTTTTCTAACTCTAAGTAAAATCGAGATATTTGACTGACAAAAATAAAATGGGACACCCTGTATATAATACAAGGAAATGTTTGCAAATTTTCATCTTTGATCTTTGAATTCTCTGTATATGTATATGTCTTGATAGAATAACACAAAATAAGAGACATAACATTCTTTGTACGTGTCAATTGTAGGATCTTTAAGAAGCTAACTTAATAATTATCGTACAAAATATGTGAGAGATATGTGAGAAAATGTTTTAAACAAAGATTCTATAGTATTTACAATCGTTCTACATTTACGCTTTTCAAAATTATATTTTTTGAACTACCTTTCCTTTTTTTCCTCCTCTCCTTCCCATTAATATCTGATTAATTAGTAAATTAGTAAATTAGTTACTTGATAACAGTTTAGTACTACAAAGTTATATGTTCCTCTTTCCTAAAATATTTTCCATAATATTTTTACAGTGTTCCTAGAATTGTGATCCAAAAGCTTTCGTATAATTTCTCGATGACATCACCGACCGGCACACTTGATCATTCCTAATAACATGAATATACTGAATACTTTGGTTAATTTATGCATCCAATACAATCTGCAATACATTAATAATCGATTTATTTTTTCCTGCGCAACGTTTACCTTGCAAGCGCGAAAATGTAAATAAGAATATGAAATTGGAAGACTTACTTCGATAAACGATTTCGGGCATTATTTAACGTATCTGGATTGTCTTTCAAAATATATTTTCTAATTCCTAACATGTATTGATGTAAGTACGTATCCCAATCTAAACTTTTGATATCTACGTTGAAATCGTCACAATCACCCGACGCTCTTACAAATTTCACTAACTTCGTCATGTTATCAGCACAGAATTTCCATTCGTTCATCGCGAAGAACTCTCCAGTTTTAGCGGCGCGCTCGAAACGTTTGGTGATTTTCATCATTCTGAAAAAAAAAGAAAACAGTAAGAGAAAAGAGAAAAAAATCGTCACTCAAAATTAATTTATTATTATAATTTATTATTATAAATATCATTTAGAATTTATTATTATATTAGAATTTATTATTATAATTTAGAATTTATTATAATTTTTATTATAATAAATTTATTATTAGAATTTATTATAATTTATTATAATTTAGAATTTATTATTATAAATATAATTGGGTAGAACAAGAGAAAGAAAGCACTTACATAGGTTTACAACCTTGGACCCTTAATATAAGATCTACGATAAATGCAGGTAAGAAGTGCAACATAGCTACCATGATAGTGTGAATGAATTTGTTTGTTCTAAACGTAAAGTCTGGATACCACATGACGTATTTCGATGGAGATTCTATAGCGTGCTTCCTCGTAAGATGTCCGAATTCACGCCATCTGCAAAATCACACATTTTTAGTGTCTCTCACTATGTCCTTAAATATCATATAAATATCATACTTTTATTTATTGCTTCATTACGTTATATTATACTATATTATACTATACCTATATTATACTATATACCAGTTTTTCATATACGCACGTGATTGGATGCAATGAGCTGCTGGTACAATTATAAATCTTTATCGTATCGGAACGTTGCGTAGCGTTATACCAAGACGCGCATATTAATGTATCGACAACAAAATCGACAGGTACAACGTCTACTACTAAATTTGCGTTGCATATGATGCTCCTAATGGTACCTCTACCTATCTCTGTCATTATACCTAATCAAATAATAGAATATAGTATATGTGTACACAGAAAAAAAGGACATTCTTGTTTTGAAAATATAATTTAGTTTTAATATGGAAATCTTGAAATGAGATTATATTGCGTTAATTAAAGAAAAATATAATTGCTTGAATAATTGCTTACTTGAATGAAGCCATTTTATATAGTTCAATCAAGAAAAATATATTCTTATGCAAAAATAAACAAATTAACATTAAAGGACCGCGCCGTGCGACAATACGAGCAAATTAATAAGATAGAAATAAAAATAAATAAAACAATTAATTATAAGTTCGTTTAATTAAAAGATGTTTAAATATCATACAGAAGAAGACTAAGTTAAGTCGAAACGTTTGCGATCTTTTAATTAAACGAACTTATAATTAATTGTTTTATTTATTTTTATTTCTATCTTATTAATTTGCTCGTATTGTCGCGCGCGGCCATTTAATGTTAATCTGTTTATTTTTGTATTGCAATACACGAGCCTTTTAATTGTTATTATATCTATTATTTTTATATTCTTATGATTTAAGATTTAATTTTCTTGAATGGAAAAGAAACAATGCTGGATAATAACATTTTTAAATCGAAGATTATAATTTTCTTAAAGTGAAATTAAATAATTATATATTCTTGAGGTGACAATTACAATATTAAAATAAAACTATAATATTGTTAAAATTTAAAATTATTAAATTCTTCTAAGAAGATTATAGATTGTTGCGTATATACGAAACAATAAACACGTTAGTTTAAGTATATAAGTTTTGATTTGACACTTGTTTTTTTCTGTATACACGTCTATATAATTAATAGAAGAAAATTAATTTATTAGAAATGTTCGGTTCATTTTATACAATTTAAACTTTTAATATTTTTATTCTTCATTATATAATATATAATTATATATAATTCGTTTTTAATAAAATTCTTCAAGCTAACGTCACGAACATGTTATAAGAGCGATTAATTATATATATCGTGCTTATTCTTTTTCATATCTTTAATAACTTTTTATATAAAGCAATAGGGTTAAAAATTATATAAAATAAAATGAGCAATTCAGGCTTATAAATATAATATTTTATAATATTATATAAAATAAATTATATATAAATATAGTAAAATATCCAACTAAAGAAACGAGAAAAAATTATTCTTACATATAATCAAACATAAATATACAGAGTGTTTCAGACCATTCGTACACTCCTTTTAAAATGAAAATAAGTGACTTTCCGCCATTGCGAACAATTTTTAAGTAAATCGGGTCTATCAAAGTCTATCAAATGGTGATATTTTCAACTTTTGATTCCGATCGGAAATATACCATCCGGATCGGAAGTTGAATTTTTTTGAGGAAACATAGTACTTCTTATTACAAATTCGAATTATACGTGAAGAAATAAGAAACTTTTGTATCAAACGTTTTTCTGAAAGTGCCTCTGTCAATCCTAAAATTGATCTTTATTATTTCATCACAGTTATTTTCAAGGTCAATTTTAAAACTGACAGAGGCACTTTCAGAAAAAAACGTTTAATACAAAAGTTTCTTATTTTTTCATGTACAATTCGAATCTGTAACAGAAAGTACCGTATTCCCCTAAAAAAATTCAACTTTCAATCCGGATGGCGTATTTCCGATTGGAATCAAAAGTTCAAAATATCATCATTTGATATAGCGTATCCGATTTACTTAAAAATTGTTCGCGATTTTTGAGAAAAGCCATTTATTTTCATTTTAAAAGGGATGATCTAGGACACCCTGTATATTAAAATTAATCTTCTCTAATTTATTCTCAATTATTTTTCTGATTCTTTTTTATATATAAATAGAATTTATTATACAAGAGAAAAAACATACATGGATATATTTTATATGATTTATTATTTATATTTGATTTTACGTATATGTGTGAACTTTTTTCCCGAGTAGGTTTCCTGTCAAAATTTCAATCAATTTTCAATCACTTTTTCAATATAGATTGTACCTGTAATACCGCAAACATTATCTACCCATCCTGGAAATGGTTCTTGATATGCTGCGCAAACTATACTCGGTCGTACGATCGCGATTGGTAAATCGCTTCCCTTGGACAGCACAATCTGCTCTGCTAAACCTTTGGTCAACGTATAAGTATTTGGATGATTACCGATTAATCTTTTCTCTATTATTCCTATCGTTTCGTCATCCAAATTTTCGCACATATCGATTACTGTGTACGGCTTTATCTCCGTGCTGTAATATTGGCAATGTGTATCATTATAAGGATATTTTTCTATAGTATATGCTTTATTAAATATATATTTATTATCGCGCCTCGAAAAACGAATTTAATTTTGCAGAGTCTGGTTCGTATCATGTATAAAAAAATAAAATAGAAAAATATACAATATAAATGTATAAAAATGAATAACCTAATAAATACTGTTTGTGTTATAATAATTTAATAATTTAATAAATAATTTAATAATAGTTAATAAATAGTTTTATTAAAATTCTTATTTGTAAAATTTAATAATGTAATAATATAAAAATATAATGTAATAATATAAAAATAAAAATAATAATAATAATAACATAATGTAATAATAAAATAATAATATAATGTAATAATATAAAAATAAAAATTTAATAATGTAATAATATAAATTTAGAATAATTTAATAATTTAATAACTTAATAAATTTAATAATTTAATAAATAATTTAATAATAGTTAATAAATAGTTTTATTAAAATTCTTATTTGTGAAATATTTGTACTTTTTTTTAACTATAATTGAAAGCTTACGTATATATCGATTCCTCAATTTCTCGTCGATCGGCGTTACTGTAGGCCGTGCTAACGTGAATGACGCTAATAAGGTTCGTCATGTGCCTACACAAGTCTAGCATACGTTCAGTGCCTCTTGTGTTTAGATTAACGGCTACTTTCAACGGCTCATTAAAACGCACGGTGGCTGCACTATGAAAAACAATGTTAACTCGCTGTATTAACATATCCTTGTCTTCGGGCTGAAGTCCCAGTTCCGGCATGCCCACGTCGCCCTTAACGGGGAAGATCTTATTTAAGGCGCCAGGAAATTCCGATCGTATTCTATCGAAAACCTGCGACAGAGGAGAGAACCGTTGTTTCATAAAAAATGCGCATCTTTCAACTTATAAATCTGCAGTTTGTAACAATAAAAAATAATAAAAAATAAAAATTATAAAATAAAAAATATTTGCTGATAGACTGTCTGAGGGTTTAATTTTTTTAGAATTTTAAAATTTTCTATGCGTGTTTTTTCCCCTATGATATACATTTAAATGGTAGTCTAATTCTATCAACTTTCACTTTCGGTATATTTCTTACTTTATATGTATTGTTATTTTATATGTACTGAAAAATATTTGTGGCGCGATTTTTTTATCGATTTTTCTCGATACGTATCAACAGACATAGCTTCATTAGATAATAATGAGGGGAAATAGTCGTGAGAATGGTAATAATCGCGATCTTTCGTTTTGATGACCGTATTTGACACTTCCTTCAAGTATAAGCATGCTACAGATAAAATATTTAAACCATCCCCTTTATAGACGATGTTATACAGTCAAAATCAATATTAGCATTAATTTTTAATATGCGCATACTATTACGTCTGTAAGGAATATCAACCTGCGAATACAGCAAAATTAATTTATGAAAAAATTAAAGAAAGGAGGTAAAATGAAACTTTGTATGTAAGATTTCTGTAAATTCGATAACGTAGGATTATTCGAAAGAGAGAATATATCTCTGTTTTTCAAAAGAGCTTAATTTTGACATCTTTCAAAAATAATAGACTGTCTGAGACTTTAATTTTTTTAGAATTTAAAAATTTTCAATCTATGTGTTTTTTTTTTCATAATGTACATTTAAACGACAGTCTAATTCTGTCAACTTTCTTAATTCGATGTATCCTTTGTTACTATTTTTATTAGTTTTTTATTCAGCTTAATGAAACTGGAGCACTTCGATATTTTCTTTTCGAATGATCTTGCGATATGATAAGCGATATAATAAGCGATATAATATATCTATACAAACAGGATTTTCCAGTAGTTTCCTGAAGCGTTCTTCGATAGACTGACTTCTTTTTGGACGGATTAAAACGAAAATTGTAGCCACACGAGGACACGAGCGCAGCAGCTTCTCCAGGAGGGCTTTCCCTAAGAAACCAGTGGCACCCGTTACAAAGATCACCGTTTCAGCGAAGAATGTGTCGATTGAACTTCCTCTCGAGTGAGTCTCATCGTGTGCGTGTCCCGAATTGGTTTGTGCATTCGTTGTTCCCATTTTGATATGTGTTTCAAATTTTACGCAGTACCTGTGAAAAAAATATATTAACATTAGAAAATAAATCGATCAAGTCATATATGTATAAAGATGTAAAAAAGTTGTTTTCTTAATAGGAAGAAACGTTGAAAAAAAATAAATTTAGTTTTTTCCATTATTCTTTTTAAATGTAACATTATTTTTCTTTCTATTTTTTTATTAATATAAAGAAAAACTTTAACATGCTTATGTTTTTATCTTTTTTCCGAAAGTAATTTTAATTGGATTAATGAGACTTTTGTGGCAAATTATAATTAAAAAAAACAAAGAAGAAGTATTGGAGCCTAGGATGGAATAAATGTAATAATTAAAATTTTATAAACGTGTTAAAAAATACATAATGGAACAAATGTTTCGATTCTTTGTGTATCCTTTACAAAAGAATGTCAAATTAAATTAAAAAAAGAAAAAAAACTTAAATAAATCATTGATCGATATAAATAAAATAAAGGTTATATAATTGATAGCACATAAACATAATTAGAATAAAAATAGATTTTAAATAGATATTAAATAGATTTTAAAAATAGATTTTAAATAGATATTAAATAAAATTTATTTTTATAAATTAACTGCTTATTGAAATGCATATAAAATGCATGGATAATATACTTCATATAGAAAGCATTACAATGTTGACAATAGATTACGTTGACTTATAGACAACGTTACAATAATTTATTCTTAATAGAGACATAATTAAATCTCCTTGAGGTATAATTATTCTATTTAACTAGATTTGTATACAATTTAGTTGAGTTTTAAATAAATCTTATTTCGGAATCCTTCTCAGGAGTTTCGAGTCACTTTTCGTCGCCTCTTCCTTCGTTCCATTAGACTTTAAGTGTTATAGTCGCGCTGACTAGTAACTAGTCCAGATTCGCACTCTTTATTAATTGATTTTTAATTAACGACTCGCGGTTTTTAATACCTCGTTTTTAGGAGAATTTTGATCACAGAAGATTTTCGTGGCGGTCAAGTACGAGAAAACTACCAGGTTATACACGCTGCGTTCAGCGGCGGCACAATTTGTATCCACACTATTTTCGCGCATTAATTCTCATTCGTGTACGCTCGACGTTTGACTATTTTTGATTAATTTCGGTTACTTTCGGTTATCCTTGATAAAGAAAACCGGTTAGAGCTTCTATCTCCTCCTCTTTTGAGAAGGTTTATTCCCAGTAAGAAACATTTGATCAACATTCTAAAATGTTGATTTTATATAAATTTTCTAAACATTATGATATAATGTTTTATAAATATTTTTAAAATATTCTAATAAACATATTAATAACATTTAGAAAATATTTTAATTTATGTTTTATAAATATTTAAAAATGTTATTTAATAACATCCCTCTTAAAATATTAATAAAATATTTTAGAAACATTAGTCAAAATGTTTTTTATATGTTATTAATATGTTTATTATAAATAAAAATATAATATCCAGTTACAAGTTCGTTCGCGTTGTTATTAAACGTCGTATTATTTATTTCAGAGCTCGGCAAGAACTGCACATTTCAGCCGATTTTCGGCTGGATTCGCCTAGCGCGTCCCCCCTTACCTCGCCGTCTCGCGCAAAGCCTACGGCCGCTCGGCGCTCAGGAGCAGGCATATGGCAATAGCTTTGCACGTTACCTATGAGGTACTATTGTTGACGCGTTTTTTTAAGTGATATCCTCAATAGGCCTAATTCACTGATGACTAAAACGACCCTTTAACTAATTGCACGGAATTATAAATAATAATTGATATGATGAATATTTATGACTTTCGGGATTTTTTATAAGCGAGATCAGGAACATCTATTTGCATACGGCATGTAGCAAGTCGCATAAGACGTGATAAACTTTATCGTCTTATGCAATTAGTTAAAGGGTCGTTTTAGTCATCAGTGGATTAGGCCTACTGGGGATACCACTTAAAAAAAAAACGCGTCAACAATACTACCTCATGGGTGATGTGAAAGCTATTGCCATACGCTCCTGACTGCCGACTCGTTGGCTTTGCGCGAGACGACGAGGAAAGGGGGGACGCGCTAGGCGGAGCCAGTTGAAAATCTGCCGAAATGTGCAATTGTTGCCGAGCTCTGATTTATTTCATACATATTTCATACATATTTTTAGACTATTTTTTTTTGTAATATATCTTAATTTCTTTCTCATGATAGGCATGACGACACTATATTAATATGTTACTGAAAAACAACATTTGGCATATGCGTATACACTCTATTGCGTATGCGTGATTTATTCTTTTGTTCTTTGACTTCGGAACACTCGTGCCGGTTGCCAGCGTGTGACATGCTCTTGCACGATCTCGCATAATAAGTAAGTTACAATGTTTTTGCGAGTTATAATGCTGCACAAAAGAAGAGGAAAGTGTTTCTTCCAGTATGTTATAATATCTTGTAAGTTATTTTTAGAGATATGTCTAAATATTTGTTCTCAGATTTTTCAGTGAAAGTTCTAAAAGTAGTTCTTAAATTAATGTTAGAATTAATATTATTGTTATATTAATATTAAGTTATGTAGATGTTGATACTGTTATTTTATTATTGATTTAATTTTATGAGAAACACAAATATCACAAATCGAACAAAAAAATAAGTTTGCATCTTGTGGTACTTCACGTAACCAACATTTAAATTGCTGAATTTCTAACAATTTTTGTTGAAATTTTGATTTACGCAATTTTCTTATTGGCAAATCAATATTATTATTATTATCAGTTAACGTATTTACCTTAATATTATTTTTAGATCCGCATGTTTTTATAGTGTTGAATTGAAATGAATAATTATTATTGCATATACTACAATAATAAAGACTATCGTCGGATGTACTTTGCGTATCCAAAATTTATATCCATCAGTAAGCCAAGCTTCTAAAAAATTTCGCTTACGTTTTTTAGTTAATTGATCACACATTTTGATTATCTATTATTAACTTAATTTACTTTCTCGTCGGCACAATATCATCAATATTTTGTCGATTGCTTTGAACTATCTTTTGACTGGGCTACGAATGTATTTGCAAGACGAGCACAGTCAACAATCAACAATTAGTCGATAACAGTCGACATGAGTCGAGAAAAAAACAATGTCAAACACATATAATATTTTGAATATATATTTGAATATATAGGGTGTCCCAGACCACCTGTACATCCCTTTTAAAATGAAAATAAATGGCTTTTATTAAAAATCGCGAACAGTAAATTGGGTACGCTTTATTAAATGGTGATATTTTCAACTTCTGATTCCGACCGGAAATACGCCATTCGGATCGAAAGTTGAATTTTTTCAGAGGAACACTTTTTATTACAGATTTGAATTGTACATAAAAAATAAGAAACTTTTGTATCAAACGTTTTTTCTCAAAGTGGCTCTGACAATCTTATAGTTTCAGTCTTACAGTTACTTTCAAGGTCCATTTTAGTAACTGTGTTAAAATAATAAAGATCAATTTTAAGGTTGACAGAGGCACTTTCAGAAAAAAACGTTTGATACAAAAGTTTCTTATTTTTTCACGTACAATTCGAATCTGTAATAAAAAGTTTACCATGTTCTCCTAAAAAAATTCAATTTTTGATCCGGATGACGTGTTTCCGATCGAAATAAAAAATTGAAAATATCACCATTTGATAGACCGTACCCGATTTACTTAAAAAATATTCGCGATTTTTAATAAAAGCCATTTATTTTCATTTTGAAAAGGGTGTATGGGTAGTCTAAGATACCCTGTATATTTCATTTTTATACCTTTTTTTGTAATATAACATTTATCTTTTTATGTAAAAATGTATGTAAAATTTATTTATTAATTATTATTGTTATACATCTTAATGTTATACATTTTTTATACACTATATAAAGTTTAAAAAAAAAGAATTAATGGGAAAAGATTATAGGAAAGATTATGTGATAATAAACGTCACACATGTTACATCGCCAACTCGACAGCTCGAGATTTCGAGGATCACATAGCTATTGCATTTAGAGAGATGGGTAAGATACAATAAACCTCTCAGGAAAGAAAGGAACAAAAGCTAATCTATCTGTCTTCCTCTGTAAACCGAAGATAATCAAAAGTGACCGAATGTCAAGCGTACACGGATAAGAGCTCATGCTTTAATGTGCGAAAGTGATGGCGATACGAATCGAGCCGCTGGGCGCAGCGTGTGAAAGTCCAAGTGCGAGCGAAGGAGATTCAAAGTCGAATCCTTTTTTTGCATTTCCGGCGAACTCGTGTGTAGTTCGTTGAGGTAGCGGTTTTACGCAATTCGCAAACATTCCATCGCATTTTAATTATATAGAATTGATTAACAGTAAAATAAAATAAAGTTATAGTTCTTCGCTATAACATATTTATAGCTTGTCAATAGATAAGCTGTAGATTTTTCAGAATCTTTAATCAACGAGACATTCAGTAAATCTAAACAGGACTAGTGAAGTAAGGAAGAGAGAGGAACCAGGTGGAGAATAATTCTTTTTTCTGTGTCAAAAATATAAATGGATAATTATTCTTAAAAAAAAAATAGTTATCGATTGATATCAACCTCAAATACGAAATAAAAATTGAAAGGCTACGAGACCGTGGCGCAAGGTGTTAGAGCGTAAAAAATAAAAGTAATAATAAAAGACTCTAAGTAAGAGGCATGATATATTAATAATCAATTAGATATAAAATACATACGTACGTTTCGATCTATTCAAGATCCTTTTCAATGCTCAAGAAGTCGTTAGAATAGAAACAAAATTAAATTTAAATAATAAACAGCGCGAACAAGGATAGGCGCGATAGGAAGCAACATAAACATTATGTACAATATAATAACGATCGCAACTTTCCATTATTTTTATGCTTCACATGTGTTTCTTTGTTTTCTTTTCTTTTATATTTTTTATATAGACATTTGCCTCGCTCATCATTTAAGAAATTCAAATGATATCTGCTGTCTCCTTTGTGGATTTTCTACCTGGACAGTCTCGTGGATTTTTTATAGAGTCTTTTGACAAAGTTTAATTGTATCCTTTCGACTTCATGGCTTTTTTGGAGATGGAAAAATGTTGGGACTTTTTTCATCGGGCGATCGTCGCACAGTACAATGTCGTGATACTATTCCCCATGTATGCGATTACTGCGTCTTTTTTTTGATGGAGAGGTGAGCGTTGGCGTTTCTTTCAGAAAATTCACCTTACGATCAGACATTAACAGTTTTTTAGTTTGTTAACTGTCTATGCGCTTTCGTCACATCTATTGTTAGCGTTTTCAAAACTCTCGCGACCGTTATTATTGTACATAATGTTTATGTTGCTTCCTATCGCGCCTGTCCTTGTTTGATCGCGCTCTGTTTATTATTTAAATATAATTTTGTTTATATTCTAACGACTTCTTGAGCATTAAAAAAGATCTTGAATAGATCGAAATGTACGTATTTTATATCTAACTGATTATTAATATCTAACTGATTATTAATATATCATGCCTCTTACTTACATGGTAAAAAACATTTTGTATTTCTGTTAAAATTTTCTCGTGTAAAAATTTTTGTGTTAAATTTTTAACATACTCTTATGTTAATGTAACATATTATCGTTGCGTTATTTTGACATTTCTGCGTTGAGTTAATATTCACCTTTCTAAGAGTTAAAACAACAACAATTAATAATGCATGAATTTTTGATGAAATATGTTATATGTTAAAATGAATAAATAAGTTGTGTTTTTTTTTCTCTCTATAACAGTTTCCATATGTTAAATCGACATATCTCTTCTGTTATTTATCATAGAAATGTAAAAATAACATTTTCTTTTAATTAAATTTAACATGATAAATATATTAATTTAACATAAACTTTATTTCCAGATAAAGTTTAAGTGTTACACTTTTGTGTTAATTTTTAAACATATTACTTGTGTTATTTATTTACATACTTGCCTTCTGTTAAATTAACATTAAAATTAGAGTGGATAAATTGGGACATGTGAAATATATTAAATTTAACACAAAATTTTTTACTGTGTAGAGTTTTTTATTATTACTTTTATTTTTCACGCTCTGACACCTTGTGCCACGGTCTCGTAGCCTTTCAATTTTTATTTCGTATTTTTATCATTTGGACCGTTTATTTATTGTTCGTTTTTGTATCAATCTGAAATTTTTATTTGAATGGAATTTTATAGAATTTTATCGTGGATGTAATAACTTAAAAATGCATCATGCATAATAATATTTTCTTAACAAATTTTAATTATTGCGCATTATTAATTGCGTCCAGACTCCAATGATCCTTTTTTTTCTTTTTATGAGCAATCATTTAAATTGCACAGGTTAGAGGATAACAAAAAAATTTTTATTATATATCTAACTAAAAATTATATTATGTTTGGTATCAGTTTAATCATAAGAATTTCATTAATTTATTAAATTGTTTTCAAAAAGATAGAATAAAAGTAAAATCATTAATTTTTAGTTTATAAAATGTTTTACATTCGTGAACTGCGAATAAATGAAAGGAATCGATTGTAAAAGACTTTGATATTCTTTAGTGATAAAGATATTAAAGTCATAAATATAAATAAATAAAAAAGTTGGAAAGAACAGACACATAAGAATAAAAAAGAGACTTTAAGCGGATGCAAATGTTTGAAAAAATAAAATTAAACGAATAATTATTTCGATGATTCTATTGAGATTTGTTTGTAAAAATCGAGAATGACAAAGTTTAGTTACTTATTTACTAAATCAAAAACGATATCCTTTTTATGATATAATAAGTGTTGTGACGGAAAGTTTAAACCTACCTAAAAGAGTTGATTTAGTGTACCAATCAAACTCAATAAATTCCTCATTAATTATGGTGGAAACGTCCAGAAAATTGATATGGCTGTTTTTATCAATTTCAATAATAAATTGAAGTCTCTGAAAGAAGATGAAAATATTTAAAATGATTAGATGAAAGGAAAGAGAAGCAGCAAGGATAAAAAGGAATAGGTAACTTTGAAAGGCTCTTCAAGGTCTCAAAGAAAATCTACTAAGATGCGAGAAAAGAGAGAGCTCATCGATGTGCTAAATGTCTATATATTTTGTCAATGAATTAAAAAAAATAGAATCGAGCATTCAACTTATGCCAATAAACAATATGAGGAATGAATCAACATTCTTATTAATAAAATGCATCGTTTATCAACCTTTGATGGCAAAATTCGACACACTTGCGAAGTTGTCTCTTTTTTATTCTTGTATGTTTGCTCCTTTCAGTTCTCCTCATTCACCTATCCTCTTTTTTTCACAGTCCCCTATGTGAATTTTACAGAAAAATTCAGTACGCTAGCTAAAATTTCAGAAGAGTTGTTCAGAAGAGATTGTTCAGTTGTATCATTGAATAAACTGAGGAAATTTATTAAAAATTACGAGAAAAGATCCTCTTCCTCGAGTTAATCATTCAAAAGTTGTTTACAGAATTAATTATTAAATATGCACCTTTTTTAATTAAATTTTATTAATTATTAATTATTAAATATGCACCTTTTCCTGTTTTATAAATGATAATAATTTGCCTATCGGTTGCTATTTACCTATTGGTTTGCTTTGCACGTCTTTGAAAGATGTTCATAGAGTAATCACATCAAGATCCCTCTAGTAAATGATAATATCCTCACTATGCTGATGAAAAATAGAGGCGGATGAATCTTGAACTGGCCGTGATTGGGCTCCAAGAATAAACTAATTTTTTAAAAATAAAAGTACCAATTTTTTTCTAGCAATTAATCCTCATTATGTAATAAAAACATTTGAAGAGAAGTAAAAGACTTTATGCAAAGCTTTGCTCAGGTGATATATACATGATTTATGCAATGATTATAGTTGCACCTTGACCTGGAATATCGTAAAAGCTTCTAGCGTATATCTTAAATCAATATAACCGTGGTGACGGTCATCAACCGACGTCGGAAAAAGCTCTTATTAATATTTCAATAAGAATCAGAATATATGGTTTTGTGATATAGTTAAACGAAAGGTTATGTATGTCGCTCGTGAACCTACTTTACTCAATATGATATTTCTTTATATGTTATCTAACAATGTTGAAAATATTAAGATTGATATTAATTTAAAATTTACACTAATTATCTGTTAGAAATTATTTTATTTTATTATTCGAAATAAAAGCTTGTTTGAGAAGTAGCTTATTGTACGAAAGAGTTTTAAAAACATTCTTTAAAGATATATTTTAACTGTGCTTCAATCTTATTTTTTATAATGAAAAAAGAAATTTCATGATTCCATTTTAAGATTTGTCTTGAAAAAAGCAGTTTTCTTTACATAAAAAGATACAAATGTATATTTATATATAATATTTATATAAATTAATTATATAAATTATAATTTATATTTAGATACATATATATATTTATTTTATTTCATAAATTATATATATATATATATATGGCAAAAAAAACATTATCCGTCGAAGAAATAATTCGAATACAAGAAATATATCGACAAATGTATGTTTCAATCCAATACGGATTTTTTTCAATGTCTTAAACAGTTCACACAAAAGTAATTAAAACGCAAACGTTACAAGGGTGCGCGCAGTAAAATAACCGAAAGATCAAATAAACATGTCGAAAACGGTCGAAAGATTTAATAAAACGTAAAGACACTACAAGAGAGTAAGAGCAGTCGAAAAACAAACAATGCCTGAACAAAAATAATAAAACAAAAAATATAGATACAAGGCAATGATACGTTTGAGCACATATTTTAAAACGCATTTTAAAATGTTTTATCTACATCTAGATTCATATTTAATTTCTAATTCCTAATTTTTATCGCTAGTCGTGCAACATATGACTGATAAAAAATTGCAAAAATAACGCGTATTTAAAAAGATACATCAATTAGAAATTAATGACAGTTGACATAAATGATATGATATTGACATTATTATGTATATTTATGACTAATAAAAAATTGCAAAAATAACGCGTATATATGATATTGACATTATTATGTATATTTATGGTAAATAAATTGATAAAGAATACGGCTCTATGTATTTAACAACATGATAATTATGAAACGAGCGATAAGAGTCTAAAAACGCGGATGGTATTGCGTAAATTTTTTTTTTTTTTTCAAACATTAATTGTTCGCGAAAAAATTTTTTTAAGACGTGCGCAAGACATTTATACATATATTTTAATTAATGTATTTAAAAAGAAACAAAATAATAATTTACGCAATACCATCCGCGTTTTTAGGCTCTTATCGCTCGTTTCATAATTATCATGTTGTTAAATATATAGAGCCGTATTCTTTATCAATTTATTTAGAACTACACGCCGAGCTAAAAAGATCGTGTTCTCATTATTTCCATTAATAAAAACGGACAGGAGAAGTGTCGGTGTGGGGCTGAATAGCTCAGTGGTAAGAGCAGTTGCCCGGGAAGCGAAAGACTCGGATTCGATTCTCGATTCAGCGACTTCGCCCCGATATTTTTCCTGTCTACATCTCTTCAGGTGGGTAAAGAGGGTATTATAGAAGTATCAAACCAAGAGAATCTATAACTTGGTATATACACCAAGTAAAATATGTGTATAAATGTCTTGTGCACATCTTAAAAAAATTTTTTCGCGAACAATTAATGTTTGAAAAAAAAAAAAAAAAAATTTACGCAATACCGTCCGCGTTTTTAGGCTTTTATCGCTCGTTTCATAATTATTATGTTGATATATTTATGATATTATACAGGGTGTTAAAAAAAACCTGAGGTACTTTGCATGCGCGTAGCTCTCAAACGTTTTTAGCTAGCAGTTTCTCCTCTTACTGCTTTATTGCCAACGCCCTTGCATCTCTAAAACGTGTGTTTATTAGTGTTTACGCTGAATATTTTTATTTTTATGATGACTGACCTCACAAATGACCAAAAGGTGTGCCTTATCAAATCCTTTTATGAAAATGGCTCTAGTTATGCTGCGGCTATTCGCGCTCTAAGACACCAATATAAACCTGAAAAACTCCCGTGCGACAACACTTTAACAAGATTAGAATTCGAATTTTTCTGATTGTGCTTTTGTAATGATTTTTTAAAAATCGCTGTTAAGTTTAATTTTCTTTGCAATTTCGCACCATCCAAGCTTGATTGTGTTGTTTTCAGCTTAATAAAAAAGTTTCAACAACATGCATCGTTTTTTTTTTAATGGGGCTTTCTAAAGGACCGAATATATTCTAAGAGACCAACAAACGAACAAGAGCTCCAAACCGCCATAAAAAACGAAATTAAAACCATTGATAGCGAGATGTTTGGCAGGGTATTTACAGCCTTCCAAAGACGACTCGAGTTCTGCTTAAACTCAAATGGAAGTCACATCGAACATATAATTTATTAAAAGTCAATGTCTTAGGATTATTTTGATGTCCTGTACGCTTACTTTTTCATATTATTAAATTTTTTACATACAGGTTTAAAAACTCATGTTATTTTTTAATACCCTGTATATATTAATATATGTATTGCATTAAATAATGTTAATTAAGCATCGACTTTCGCTAAACGTTCATTATAAATATTTATTATTAATAAATATTTAAAGTATTAAATAACTTTGCATTCATTGACTTCTGAAACATTTGTTTATGTGTGCAATCAGTCGTTCTATCAAGGCCAAACATTTAGATATTTATCGCTATGATAGCCATTTACTCTTTTCCCTTCTCCTCTTCCTTCCCTCTCTCTCTCTCTCTCTCTCTCTCTCTCTCTCTCTCTCTCTCTCTCTCTACTTGATGCAAAAAGATAAGTCATTTCCAAACTCTGGCCTCGAGATATAATTAGGTAATAGCTCGCGATAGATTCTTATCACCGGAGACAATTATCAAAGATAGTGCACTGACCTAACTCACATTGGTTGTGTTCAGCAGGAAAAGCTGCTTTGCAACTGTTGTAAAATTCATGAATCTGATTGGCGTATGCTCATAGATCCAGTCAAAATTAAGAGCATAGGACAATTACATTCACGAATTTTACAACAGTTACAAAGCGATATTAATATAAATGTTATATTAATATAAATATAAATATTAATCCAATTATGAAAAATCATAATGCATCTTTATAAGAAAATGTATGAAAAATAGAACTAATAGATAAATTAATAATAATAATAATAATAATAATAATAATAATAATAATAATATTATTATTATTATTAAGATTTTTGCGAATTTCTTGCACAAAATATATATGTTAAGAATCATTTAGAAAGGAAATAACAAGATAATTTTAATAAACGAACATATAATTCATATTACATGTGTATATAATTCATATTACACGATTCAATTTACACGTGTTCTATGTATTTTACATAGTACTTATTTTCTACATAAAGACGTTTTATGATTGATAAAGATTTATAGCTGTTTATTAATTCATGAAAACAGTTTTCTGCACCAACATTTATTTTTAAACATGAAAGTTAATATGCAAATAAAAACTAATTTATTTTAACATATATATAATGCAAGAGAAATATTCATACAGATTATTATAATGAAATAAAGGTCTGTTAGATAAAATCAATAAAAATTATTTAAAAAACTTCAAGGACCAACGCAATGGTGAAATGTATGCAAAAATAGGACGGTTATTTCAATTCAATAAATCATATGAAAATGTTTATTTAATTTAATAAGAATAGTTTAGAGATCAAAGAAATATAATCGACCAAACTAGCCAAAAATTGATTTATTAGTACGACGTTTCGACCATATGGTTGTGGTCCTTATCAAGTATACACTGGAAAGATTATAAATGATTACTAAATTAGTTAACGGTTTAAATATATAGTACGCTCAACGAATTAAAATATAACAATTTTAGTATACCGATGTAATAAAAATCAGGAGACCAGCATGGATGATAATCTTGTAAATTGCACAAGTCACATTAAATAAAAACGTTATTTTAAATTTGAATTCGAGAGAAATTAATGCGTCTGTGAGAGACTTCGTCAAGAGACTAAACAATAACGATATAAAAACTGAACTACGTGACCTTTATTACTTTGTCGTAAATATTGTTTAAACTATCCGTGTCTTCTGTATACAAAATTAACACTATTTATAATTTGGTTGACTATGCTATTTTATTATCTAATGACTGCTTCCGACAAGAAAACATCAAGCTAGTACATGACACTTTAATCAATAATTGTTTCCCCGAACATATTGTACATAGACACATTAAAAAAAGAATTAATTTTTTAAATAATCGTGATAATCGTTAATGATACGGTTGACGTGAATCTCACTCGTTCAGATAAGACTCAATTTATTACAATACCATATGTAGAGAATTCGAGTCATGACTTGTACCGTCTTTTGCGGAATAGCAGCTTTAACGTCGTCTACAAAATAACAAAAAAAACTAAATAATTTAATTAGACGCGGTAAAGATTCCTTACATAACAATGATAAGATAAGTGTAGTATACAAATTAAACTGCAAAGATTGCAATTTATCATACATCGGGCAAACAAAAAGACATTTACGTACGCGAGTGAAAGAACATTGTAATAATATAAAGCTACACGAATCTAATCACTCGGTCATTAGCAAGCATAGATTGGAATCCAGACACGATTTCGACTGGTCGAAACCGAATATCTTGCACAATGAAAAGTACGTTCGGAAAAGAGAGATAGCTGAAATGTTCTTTATCAAGAGATTTAAAAATCTAATCAACTTACAGAAAGACACAGATAGTTTAAATAATATTTACGACAAAATTATAAAGGTCACTTAGTATCGCCTTTCTTCTTGTTATGTTTAGTTTATTGACGAAGTCTCACATGGACGCATCAGCTTCTCTCAAATTTGAATTTAGTTAAATAACGTTTTTTGTATTACGTGATTACGTGGTTTTACATGTTCACCATTAATGTTTGCCTTCTGATTATTATTACATCGGTAAAAATCTTTTCACACTTTAATTCTTTGTGCGTTACTATGTATTCAAACCGTTAATTTATGTATTTATAAATCTTTTCTAGTGTATACTTGATAAGGACCACAACCACATGATCGAAACGTCGTATTAATAAACTTAATTTTTTGGCTAGTTTGGTCGACTACAATTTTTCAATTGATCCATAAATTGTAAATCAAGTAATCAATTACAAATTATTAACAAGAATTGTAAATGGTCGCGCAAACGTTTCGATCTATTTCAGATCCTTCTCAATGCTAACATTATAGAAAATACAAAAAATATAAATGTAAAGAGAAACAGGTCGCTCGCAAATAATAACATTCGCAAATCAAGATTTAAAGTAATACAAGGTCAACGTCCAAATTAATGAGAAAAGTCAGCGCAGATAAAATATTCGTCAATATAGCGGACAATATAATAATAAATTCGAAATTTGTAATAAAGAAAAATAGATTTATAACGCTCGGATGACAGAATATGGCTGTAGCCTACACGTCGGCATGTTACTCACCAGGTCCAAACACAGAGATCGTAACTGATGTGTAGGAAAGAAAGTGTCGAAAAACGATGGCATGCGCGTAAAGGACAGAGATACCGCACACTATCCACACTTTGTCTAATGCCAAAAGATTCCTTATTTTGCAAGTTAATAAATCCAAAGCCACAAAAACTGGTATCTGAAAAATAAATTGAGCAGAGCAACACGCGTTCATGCAAACATATCGCAGCAAAAAAGAAAAAAAGAAGAAAAAATTAATGTGAAACAATAAAGAGAAATTAATGCGAATTGTTCAGAGAAAATACATACAAGCAGTGAAAAAGCCCGTTAAGCGAATGACAGAAAGTAAGCAAGAAAAAGAGTAATTATGATAGTAAAGTATAAGAGACATGTAACTCATACAAGACGGCGAGACGTACTGAGCCACGCAATATTGAAGCGCCCGACGTGCCGATAACGGTGTGAGGGAAAGGGGGAATAAGAAATTCAGGAACGGATCGTGTCATGAAAATAGCAATTTAAAATCGTAGGAAATGAGAGGTGATTTATGGTTGGAAAGATTTCATGATTGGAAGGTAAATTTTGTCGAATTTATCGGTATCATTTTGAACATTTAAGTTACATTATTCTGTCGTGTAATATGAATCATTTCTGAGATAATCCTTCTAAGGAACGAAGGATCTTGATCCAAAATTTTTACATCATTCCATGAAAATTCATGTCTCTCAAGTCTATGCTGGGATACAATTGATAAATATTCAGAAAGTCGATCAATGTTCGATCGATGCTCTCGGACGAGAGTCGAAAGTTACCTGCTCGTCTACCCCACGTAAGAAGCGGAGCAATTGTTGCAGCAAATTTTGTATATCACATTTGAATGACTTTCTATCGGTAGCGGATCCTTATGTGTTTTTATGAAACGATTCAATTTATTTAACACAACGTAAGCAAAAGATTTATCTAGTTTAGTAGCAATATCCTTAAAATGATCAGAAACACCTTTAATGTATGGAATCACAAAGAACGAATGAGAGGGAGAGGAGGAAGAATGGAGAGTAAGAGAAGAAGGAAGCACAACACGGTTATGAATAAGAGACTTAATTCTGTTCGTAATTGTGGAGAAAATGAGATTTGCAGGATAACCATTATTAGAAAGTATCTCAAAAATAAGTCTAAAATTCTTCTCATGAAACCGGGGATGCGATAACTTAAAAATTTTGTCAGTAAAGTCAATAATTACGCCCTTTTTATGTTCTAAAGGATGTTGCGAGAAAAACTTCAAAAATCTCCCGGAAAAAGTGAGTTTCATGTACCAATCAAATTCAATGTGATTGTTGTTAATAATAATTGTCACATCCAAAAAATTAAGTTGATTGTTGTTGGCGACTTCCATAGTAAATTTGAGTCTTTTATGGAAAGAATTGAAAATTGTCATAATGAGATCAAGAAAGGAGGAAGGCGCGATCAAAGCAACGTCGTTCACGTATCTGAAGTAAAAAGGAAGATGGAAGGGAAGCTGTGAAATGGCTCTATCCTCCAGATCATGCAAGACCAAGTCTGCACAGATAGGGGAAAGAGGGAAACCTATGGGTGTTCCGAATATTTGTTTGTAAATCCTCCCATTGAATTTAAAAAAAGAATTCAAAACAAGTTTAAGTCCAATAGCAAATTCAAAAAATGGAATCTTAATTTTGTTCTTGATCAAATGCCAACGTTTAGCAACACTGCCAATAATTAAGTCTGTAGGAACGTTAGTGAATAAGGATACGACAAGAGAAATGAGTATAAGATGGTCATCTACATAAAGATTATTAATTCTATCCACTAACTCATAGCTATTGGCAATACGACTGTTGGAATGTGGAAGATTCTCGTGAAGGCAGTTGTGGAGGAAAGCCGCGAACTTGTGAAGAGGACTGTTGATAGATGATACAATAATTCTCAAAGGACAGTTGGGCTTGTGGATCTTCGGTAAGCCGTATGCTCGTGGCAACGTGCCATCGCTAATATAGAGAGATCGCTTAGTAAGAGTTGAAATGTAATTTCTCTGATTCCACCTCTCCAAAATGTCGTTGAGCTCATTACAAATTCTTCTAGTAGGGTCCTTATTTACAATCACATAAGTATCAGAATCGTTCAATAATTCATTCATCTTTGATATATAAACGCTTCTGTCAAGTACAACGGTGGCATTATACTTATCAGCCTTCGTAACAATCAATTCAGGATGATCCGCCAAAAAAGTCTTACAAATATTATTTAGTTTTAAAATTTTTTTATCAAAATCGGAGCACACTCTCGAATTATCAGTAAGATACTTTTCTAAGCATTGTACAGTATGATTTCTGAGAAATCATACTGAACTTCGGGATCCAGTCTCTTTAAACCGCATTCAATGTATTTGATAACTTCAAACACAGGACGGGGAATCCTCCTCCTGGAGGAGGGGGATTCGTTGTGACTGGATTAATTGAAATTTTTAACGAGGAAGAAGGAACAGGAGTAGTGGAAAAATTAAAAATAGTATTAGATGAATCTTTCTTGCAATCAGAGATAGGAGTATGTGATCTAAGTCTTCTTTTGTAATTATTAACTCCGGAGTCGGTAGTGAAACTGCAGTAATAAGAGAAAGAGAGAGAAGTTGTTCTGATTCTATGTTTTTTGGCGATCATCCATCTGAGTTTGCTGTCCAAGCTGCATCTCTCCTTGTAAAAAATATGCCGAAAAAACTTGAATTGTTTATTAAAATAATTGTTCAATAAGTACGCTGGAATGGACTCAAAGGCTGATCTGGAGAGCTGTAGTAAAGTATGGCGCAAACGGCGTAATGATCTGAATGCATCCACAATCTCAATATTCAATATACGTAAAGCTGTCCTAAATTTAAAACTGTTGTACGCTCGAACTGATCTATCATTATACAAATCAATATCAATTGAAAGGGTGTGAAAGATGTGGAGGAAGCACCTTAAATTTTTTGCAATTTCTCAAAAATCTGCAATATTATATATATTATTTAATTTAAACACGACAAACGCTGCGTTTTAATCCAATTCGGATCCTTTTCAATGTTGAATAATAAAGTGAATAATAAACATAAAAATAAAAATAAAATTAACAGTCATTGATGTAAATAAGTTTTGGAAAAAACGCAAACCAAAATAAATGGTAATTACAAAGTCAAAAAAGTCGAAAGCAAAAATACGCAAAGTAACGGATGATTCAAACAATCAATTAAAAAAGAGCGCAACGCATTAACGGTAATAATCGGAGTATCGCAACGGAAAACCGAATGCAAACTCACACCCCATATCCTTAGTGTACCACAAAGAACGTGCTGCTCACCTCGAAAGCAAAAACCGAAAGGAAATCTCACACGCAAGTCTACGTTCATTTCCAATTTAAAAAAGAAAAGCAGTCAAAGATGCATAAATCGATGATCAGTTGGAAACTTAATGGTCCTTAATGTGTGTAATGAAAGATGACACTCTAAAATTAATTAATTAAGATGACACTCTAAAAAAGAAAAAAGAAAAAATAGGCGGAGCAATATATAATTTAACAACAATCCGGAAATTAAAACTAACAATAAGAAAATCTTTCATATAATGTAAAACTAAAGTTAATCTAATAAAAATTACATACTTGTCTCTAAATTGAAAGTAATCTCAAATTAAAAAATCACACGAAGGAAGAGCAAGTTAAGCAAGAGGAAGAGCAAACGTCAGAAAGAAAGAACACAACAAAAGACAAAAGGAAATTTTTCAAAAAAAATCAATGCTAAAACTTTATAATAGGCAAATACAACTTATCTAAGCATTCGATATCACTCTGAATATTAATGCTATGATTCTGATTAGAGATGTGCAACATCTTTGCAATTAATCTCTTTTTATATCCAGGCTCCTCGTCCAAAATGGAAACATTCTTCCAATCAAACTCATGACCCTTCAATCTATGAAGGAGCACAACCGAGAGAAAATCAGAAGCTTTATTAATATCAGAAGGATGTTCTTTAATTCTGATCAGCAACTTCCTTTTAGTTTGTCTCACATACGAAGCATCACAGTCTAAACAACTGATTTTATAAATAACATTCACGTGATAGAATTTAGATACCGTATCCATATAATATTCATACAATCTTGGCTTTATACATAATTCAACATGGTTGTAATAATTCAGTAAATATTTCGTTTTAGTTCAAAGATATAACAAATAATATAATATAAATTATTTATGAATTATTATTAATATTTATATTATAAATATATTATTATAAATATATATTATTATAAATATATTATTAATATTTATAAATTATTTAAATTATTTAATAAATATAAAATTGTAATATACCGTACATTTTATTTTGCAATTGTTACTATACAATATGTTTTATAATAAAACATTATTGTAATATGATATTGTTATCTTCGTGTTTTTTCGCTTATATATTAAATACAAAATCGCTTATATATTAAATACAAAATCTCATAAACGAGTCTGCCATTTCATGAACTTTTACGTAAAACAATCATTAATTTTTACGTAAAGCAATTATTAATTTTTTAAATTTAATTTTAATTTAATTTAATTTTTAAAATTTTAAAATTTTAAAATTTCGATAACTCATATAATAATAATCAATAATTCGTGTTTTTGAATTTAGATATATTATTCAAATATTTAAGAAAATAATAGTTTATAAGTAGTAATAGTTTTCATTAAAAATTTTAATTTTGTCTTTCTTAAAAATTATTTAAAATATAATTCTGAAAATTTAATGTTTTTTCTTGATTAATTTATCTACTTAATATTATCGGTCCGATTCAATTGTACATCAAAATAAATCTTCACTTATTTTTATTTTACTAATATTGATAAAAATATATATTAAAGTATATATATAAAGAGATTATTTATAAAATTATTTTATTGAAAAAAATTATTATTTTGTTTAAAAAAGTGCACATTTAAGTTAAAATCACTTAATACAATTTAACGCACATAATTGATCTATTTTACTCACTTTTAATCTTTTTTGAGACATTTATAACCTAATTTTCAAGTTAAATTGCAATTGCAAAAGTTGCATGTTACGTTTTATAATATTACATAATGACATACAATATTCAGTTCTGCATTTATAAAACAGTCAAATAATTACACAAAATT